CCTCATCAGCTGTCGTGGAAATCGAATGAACCACGAAAGATCGCGTTGTATGCATCGGACTGTCAAAACGGCCGTCTAATAATTTTCCGGCGATGTCATTCGCGAGAGGCGAATAATTATTCATGTCGTTGAAAAAAACCCGTCGCGAATAACGATTTTCCTGCTGGTCGATTTTCTTTGCGCCATTTATTCAAAGTCCGAGACCATCGTCGACATGCGAGACCGTTGTGGTGTTTGCGTGGAAACACGCTGTCCTGAAAATTGGATGAACGACGAAGGGCGGAGCACGAGAAAGGGCTGTGTATATTCATTTTCACAGACAAGCTTAACGAACGGTCGTTTTAATTACTCGAATAATAAAAACTACGCGCTCATCTACGCCTGTATCGCGATAAAGTATAATATAATTATAATATTACTTCGAGACACACATAATTTGTCAAACTTTTTTTTCAACAGAGTGTAAAACTCTGTATCTGTACAACTTTATAATTGACGACTAATTAGTAATATCAATAATAATTCAAAGAGAGATGCGATCAATCGATTACGTACCAGAAGCATGGTTGGATCGGGAAACGTGAGACTCCTTTTCATTCTGCGTTGTGAGATTTGTTCGCTCGTGCCGTTTGCACGAGCCTCGCTTGCCAAGAGGCATCCACCGATGTTGATCGATTGACAAAACAGGAACAGAGCGAGAACGATCGATGCGATCATTTTGCCGGGGTTACAGTCGCGACGAGACGATGACACAGTCGAGAGGTTTCTCGGCGTGATTAAGCTCGACTTTGTCGCCGACTCCGAACTGCGAGGCATCGTTTTCGCGTGTCGCGGGAACCCGTTAAACATCCCGGGCCGCAAATGTTTGCTCCTGGTTGATTCCCGGGAGTCGAATTGTGGCCGGGTTCGAAGACCGTTTACGTAATCCGACAAAGAGCAAGCAATTTCCACCTCCTCCGCAACGCCGACGTATGCATAATAAGGCCGGTTTTGCGCGTCTCTGTCTGTAAACGCCTCTCGGACAAATATTTGAAATCTCGCGATTACACCGGCGGTGTAATCGTGCGAGAATGCACGTAATGCGTCTCCGTTAATAAGTCAGGTTTTGCGTAGCGTCGCGAAATCTTTTCGCGCGTCTGCACGCCTGTCGTGCGAATTAAATATTCAGCGGGACGCGAAATATGATGCGCGCAGAGGAGCATCTCGACGAAGCTGCTTTAATGGGTCGTTATTACTGTGAGAATTATTAACGCTACGAGAAATAAGAGCGCTTTATTAATCTCTTTCCTAACTTTTACTTGAACAAATAAATAAGATATTTTCAAAAATAATTATGCGACAATCATAAAGATTCAATCTAATTTCTATCGTTAAATATATTGTTTTATAAATCTAATTCTTATCGTTAAATATATGTACAAGAAGTGAAAAATATAATAGAATAACTTAAAAATTTGCTACAGGTGATAATTTTCGAATAATGTGATATATCATTATTTTTCTCAACATGTAAAATTATTAATATTTCGAAAGTGTGACTTTTCTCTATTAATTAATTAATTTCCTTAATTCTGCTCAAATTTACATTTGTAAATATTACGTGTGTCAAAAAAATACGTTTTATTTAAAGAATTCTTATTTGAAAAATTCTGGAAAATTTTCGCTTTAAATCTATTTCTCCTCGTTATAACAGCCTCTCTTACAATCGATACGTCACGCGCATAGCTGCAGTAACCATACATTTTCCCTCACGCGATGCTGGAGAGAAGTCTCTCCCTCTCCCGCTTTAAAAAATCGGCGCCAAGCTTCGCGAATCCTTTCGCAAACTGTCGAGTGCCAAGGTGAGTTCAGTGACCCTTGCGGGCCGTTTGCAGAAAAAAAATCTATCGCATCGGAGAACCGCAAAAGGAAGAGTACATTTGCGCTCCATTTCGTTATGATATCGCCTTAATACGGCACCTAGGACGAATGGATCGGCACTTTGCCGATAGCGTCACGAGAGAAAACTCGATAAGAGCAGCGCGAAGAGACGTAGCCGCAGCCGTAGCCGGGTCCAAATCGAAGTCGTATTATGTGGAAAAAGAAGAAAGAGAAAAGGTACGGAAAAATCTCTGAACGAAAAGAGCAATATCTTGCTCTTTAAATCCGGCCTAGCTTAAGTTCATCGTGGCGTCTTCAATCGCACGGAGGAGGAACTGTATTTCCTGAAACAGCAACACAACATTGGCCTTTCGCAAAACGATCTCCGAGGATTGGCTACAATGGAATAAAAAGGTCAAAGGTAGATTCTTCTCGTACAGCGAAGAGGGAAGATGGAAAAAAAGCTCGCTTAAAATATACATATCGCTTTCTATTATTCAACTTCGGTCAAATAGAATAAGAAAAAAATGGAAATAAATTTTTTTCTTATTATCACAATATGAACTGCAAGATGTGGATAATTTTAAACTTGAATTCTCTTATCTCTTATAAATACATATATTTTATTTTCACAGTCGTAAAGTCAATGAATACTTCGCGGGTCTTTAAACGAACGATCCCAATAATAAAATCTTGACGCGAAATTTGTGCGAGAACGGACGGTAAGACACGATCGCGAAGAAAAATGACCGGCGTGTAACGAGAAGAAAGAAGTTTCGCTGTGGAAAAATCAGTCTCTCGTGAATCTCTCGGAACGCATCGTGAAATCTTGGCTTAGTCCGCGGTTACTGGTGTTAAATTGAATCACAGCGCAACCGTACGATCTCATAAAATTCCACCTGCGTTATGTGCACAAACTCGCTTTCGAACCAGAGACCGAATGCAAAATATGGCACATGTATTATGCCTACGATCGGCCACGTGCGGCTAAACAACGCCTATTCGTCCGAGAACTCTTGACAAAAAATGATAATTCAGCTCTCGATAAAAGAAACATTTATTATTCGGCGAAGTAAAACTTCTCTCGATCTTCGTATCGTTCTACGATATCAAGTTGATGAACGCTTATGCATTCTCATTTCGTATTTAATTGTATAATCGTTGTAATGCGCTTTTGTACATTATATAATTAAAAAAAGAAATACGGTATTATATAACTGCTGGTTAACCATCCTGTCACGGAATCTTCTCTTTGAAATTAAACAATTGAAATTGCAAGGTGTATCCTTGATAGCGTGGCAGGCAACATTTCCGCTGCTTCGATCATTTCTCTTTATATCGAGAGAGGCTGGGTTTATTCAATGCACAAAATCGACGCTGGACGAAAAATAAATTGTTATGTAACAGAGCACGCGGGGTATTTCTGAAACAAAAGAAGACGTATGCGGGACCAGTTTATCACGCTGGTCAACAATGGGGGTTATCGGGGGCTCCATTTTCCGCAGTAGCCCGGTTGTACGTGCCACTTAAAATGAAAATTGAAAAAGATATCCATTGTTCGTGTCAGCACCTTAGAAGTGCTTGAAATAAATGATTAAAAGCGCTATAAACCTAAAGTAGAACAAAAGCACATTTGGATTCTTTCGCGCGATGTATCGTTACATAAATCTTATTTAAAATAATTGTATATACGATCTGTTAAGCTGTAATTTTTTACTATAATATGACGAGATAAACGGTTTTTCCGACACGGATTTAATAAAGATTAATTATAAACGTATTTATTTCGCGCATTATAATTTACGTTAGATCTTTTCGACGTCTGTAACATCGTTAAAATTCCATTACGCGAATCAGAAACTTGTTTGTCTGATCGATAACGAACCTTCCTGGACAATCCAGAGAAGACGGTTGGGGGTTGATTCGTTTCTTCTTACACTTGCCCCAACGACGGGCGAACAAGGATATATACCCGAGAAGGGTGGGTTTTATTACGTCGTTCTGGAGTTGTAATTCAATTTCGTGGCAGAATACACGGCAGTACATTTCACGGCAATACATGTGAACCAAACCAATTGCTCCGTCCACTCGATAAGGACAAATGGTTCTAGTTGTTCACAAGATTAGAAAATGGCATATTACTAACAATACTTAATTCTAATAAAACTAATAAATCAAAGATAATTTCTGTCAATCGGTCTCACTTTAATTAATCTTACATTTGCTCTTCTTTTACTAAGGATATCAATGAATCAATAGTTCTCGAGTTATTAGCTGTTAAAAATTAATAAATCCCTTACAAATTCAAGCCATCTACATATATTTTTATATAAAAAGGCTGCCTTAAATGATCTATAATTTGCAACAAAATTCAAGACAAAATTCAATTCATTATAATTGTCTTTCACATTTCTACAAATGTTTTGTCTATTATACGATACATAAAATTTTATCGCAATTTATATATCGTTTAAAGGGGGTTTTAAAAAAAATTTTTTTAAAGAGATGTGGATTCAATCGGCGGCTAATAGATTAAAATAATATAATTGAGATAATAAAATAGATTCATACGGAATATATAAGCGATATATAAACCCAGCTGGCTCAATATTCTTGTAGAATACCATTCTCTTTTTTATTACCGCCTCCACGAAGCCTTGAACCCTTGTCGAGGACACACTACTTACTGCCTTTTTTATTGCGTGATTGCCAGCACAACTCGGATCATTCGGTCCTATTTTTCACGTCACGTTTATCTATCTAGATGCCGTAATATCGAGATTCTCGATCTCACGTCTCTCCTATACTTTTACCTTATAATATCGAAGTTCTTTATTACTTTCTAAAAAACTTGCACACTCTGCGTGTTAATATACGATTAGTAAAAATCACGTTTCTTTCTTTGTATCTACAGAAATTAACAATTAATATTAATATTAAATTTAATGCGATATAAATTTAATTAATATTAAATTTATCAACAATACAAAAATCGACAATACGTATCGATTTTGTCCCAACTTTAGTCGTTCAAAATCAGTCTCTTCTGACCATCGTAAGATTTATCGTCACAAGCAGTGTTTGCAGGACGACCAGTGCACATAATGTATGTTGGAACGTGCGTTGGCTTCTTCGTATAGAAATAAGTTACGAGCTCCGATCGTACGATCACGTCCGATCTAATATTACAAATATTAAGGAACAGGACAATGGCGGCAGGACGAGAGTGAGTGAAAAGGAATGGTGAAAAGGAAGTCGTGAGAGGAAGCGAAAAATATATAAAAGTCGCGTCCAAACGCGATTGGAACGTGACGCAGTTATCGGGTTTGTTATTGCCAATATTCTCGTTCGACAACAGGTGCACGCGAGGAGAAAATGACCGGCTCGAAATTTATAGAAGCCAGAGAAACCGGTTACTAATCATCACGCGGTGCAACGCAACTGTTATTAAAAAGGATACTTCGTTTGCATCTCCAATCTCTAGCAATTTTTTCGCTCTATTCTCGCTTTTTGTTCGAGGATTTATATCAAAAATACTTCGCAGAGCACATCGTGTTACATACATATAACTCAAATTGAATTTAATTTAACGAGTTGTGCGTATTCAATAATTTCAGCAAATGAAGTTTTGCGAATGAAAATTGATAAGAACGTTTGCTTCTTTAAAAAATAATAAATAAGACTCTCTCTCTCTCTCTCTCTTTCTTGAAATTATTAATTAATGCGAAATATATGTCAAATATTTCGTATTAAAAATAGAAAAATTGTGACGAATAATGTTTTTCCATACAATTGTGCGACCAAAAAAGCGCCGATCGATTCTGCTATAACAATAGAGATTGACTTTTAGAGACATCATATAAATAACTTCATGATGTAGCGCTATAACGTAACGCTAAAATAAGAGCACTCTTTGTGGAATGGCACATTTATTTTAATAGATTTCGGTAAAATAATCCAAGAGGCTTTCCGTGCATTCGGGATATAAGTTGTCGCAATTGCTGGGATCTCGTTGTCCCGCGATCTCAGCGGCGTGATATTCTTGATCAAAGACATTTCCATATGATTCAGATGTAGTGGAAGGCCTGAAATATTTGTATTATTACAATATTTTATTATACTTTTAAAAATTATAATTTTTATTTTGCAAAAACATATCGCAGGATGATATTATAAAAATATTTTAATACCGAGACGTTTATTATGTAACTTTATTGAATAAAATAAAATCCGGACTCGCTATAATGGAATATGTCTTATATATATACGTATATATTTTGTAAGCAGACATATGAGTTCGGATGCGCTGCATAATAATACGGCCATGCATGAATTAACCGCGTTCCTAAGCTGCGACAATGGTACGGTAAACGTAACAGTTCCTTAATCGCAGCTATGCTAGGCTCAACGAAGATTATTCTAAGAGACTACTTATCGGATTAACGCTTACGTGAGGAAAATATGAGCAAGTTGCGCAGTCAGAGTGTGACTTCGTCCGAAAGGCACTGCCGCGGCCTCGCAAATGGTTTTTAAGAGGCAGGCTTTACCCGAGCGCGTAGATTCGAAGACAGACTCGAGGATTTCGTAGCATTCCCATCTGGATATCAATACTGCTTTACCCGGAAAAAAATAATAACAAAGATGTAAAAGAAATATATACATATAAGAAAAATAATATAAATTATAAATGTTTACCCGAGTTCGAAGACAGACTCGAGGATTTCGTAGCATTCCCATCTGGATATCAATACTGCTTTACCCGGAAAAAAATAATAACAAAATAACAAAG